CGTCCTTCTCTTCATTAGACTAGACATGCCCAATTCCAGCAACTGTTCCTTATATGCTTTAGCCTCCAGTCCCCTAATCATCTTTGTTGCTCTTCTCTGCACTCTTTCTAGAGTCTCAGCATCTTTTTTACATCGCGGTGACCAAAACTGGATGCCGTATTCCAAGTGTGGCCTTACCAAGGCATTGTAAAATGGTATTAACACTTCACGTGATCTTGATTCTATCCCTCTGTTAATGCAGCCTAGCACTGTGTTGGCCTTTTTGGCAGCTGCAGCACAAGGCTGGCTCATATTTAAGTGATTGTCCACTAGGACTCCGAGGTCCCTCTCCGAGGTCCCTCTCATGATGTCATCATGTTTTCTGACTTCAGGGCAGTCACCTTGGGGATCCATCCGGATCAAGTCAGATATACAAAAGACACTCTTTGTACAAATTCCCTCTGTCGTTGTTTGTGGCCCTATTACCCCTCATGCGTCTGAGGCCTTGGGACTGTCCTGCTCAGCTGTCACTGGGACTCTGTCCCAACAGTAGGAGTAAACTTTGGAAAAACGTCTTCATTGCAAGCTCTTCCTTACCTATGGGGATCGTGTGGAAAACAGACATCATTTCAGTAGACTGGAGATGAAATAAATCTAGAGGCTCATCACTACTCAATTACCACAGGGCCACAAGGGGCCAGATAAAGCTAAGAGGAACAAAAGGCAGTGTGAAGCCTTATAATGCTTGTGATTGATGCAACAATCATTTACTAGAATTTATTTCTCCCAGCTTTTCCCCCTGGGGATGAAGGAACACATTATTCAATTTTTCTTTCTTGCTTGCATTCAGAAAGAGGCTTCAGGAAGCTTTTTTTTTTTTTTTTTTTTTTTTTTTTTAGCAATTCTGACCTGATTCACAACTGGTAGACTAGTAAGGGGTTTGAAATTTATTTTGATCTGGAAAAGATTGGTTTTAAATATATCAACATGCATTTCCAAACCTGCCTTTTGAGCAAAGGAGAGGCGTTCAAATGCCATTTAAATGAAAAAAAGGTCTTGCTATTTTTTGAAACACAAATAAATGCAGGGATAAGGTCGAATCTCATTTTCCTTCCGCTCCACAGCCCCAATTCTGTCTTATCCATTTCCCCAATTTTCTTTGCCTAATGAAGCAGGGGTCTCCGAACTTGCCAACTTTTAAGACTTGTGGACGTCAACTCCTAGCATTCCTCAGCCAGTCATTCTGACTTCTGGTTGAAGTCTACGCATCTTAAATTTGCCAAAGTTGAAAAACATTGTCCTAAGCTAACTCAAATCTCCTCTAATACACGAGGGCTCACCATCTGCCATTAGCTTTCAGGTGGAAGAGAAAAGGCTCATGCTATGTCAAAAATCTACACTGCTTACAAATTTCTTCCTACTTTACAGCCTGGTGCTTCAGATTTATTTTGTCTTTCCCTCCATGTTGACCTTATATTATAATAATAACATCAACAACAACAACAACAATATACCTGTAATAACATCAAACATCCACATCTGCCTATCCCAGGTCCTGGGTAAGAACTCGATAGGTAGACAAAATGCCAAATCCAGTCTGAACATCTGGCTGACTGTGCGATGATCCATAATAATAATAATAAAGTTGGAAGGGACCTTGGAAATCATTGAGTCCAACCCCCTGCTCAGGCAGGAAACCCTATACATTTCGGAAAGATGGCTGTCCGGTCTCTTCTTAAAAACTTCCCGTGTTGGAACATTCACCACTCCTGGAGGCAGGTTGTTCCACTGGTTAATTGTTCTAACTGTCAGGAAGTTTCTCCTTAGTTCTAGGTTGCTTTCTCCTTGAGGAGTTTCCATCCGTTGCTTCTTATCCTGCCCTCAGGCACTTTGGAGAATAGCTTGATTCCCTCTTCTTTGGGGCAGCCCCTGAGATATTGGAAGACTGCTATCATGTCCCCCCTTGTCCTTCTCTTCGTTAAACTAGACATACCCAATTCTAGCAACCGTTCCTTATATGCTTTACTCTCCAGTCCCCTGATCATCTTTGTTGCTCTTCTCTGTACTCTTTCTAGAATCTCAACATCTTTTTTACATCATGGTGACCAAAACTGGATGCAATATTCCAAGTGTGCCCTTACCAAGGCATTGTAAAGTGGTATTAACACTTACATGATCTTGATTCTATCCCTCTGTTAATGTAGCCCAGCACTGTGTTGGCCTTTTTGGCAGCTGCAGCACATGGCTGGCTCATATTTAAGTGATTGTCCACTAGGACTCCGAGGTCCCTCTCACAGTTACTACTATTGAGCAAGGTACCCCCTATGCTATACCTGTGCATTTGGTTTTTCTTGCCTACTTCTATTCTTCTGGTTTTCTGCCCCTTTTCATCCCTCTGCAGCCTCCTTGGCTGCCTGAATCTTTCACCTTGTTGTCTTCATTTGGGATTATATGCAAGTATGGGAAAAGCCAGGGAAGCTGGAGGTGGCCGGAGGGATAAATGCACAGCAAAGGACAGGAAATTCAGATTATAGCCCTTCTCACTGCATACACGAGAACATCTCTGAATTTTTCTCCTTGTAATGATCAAAAGCAAATGCCCTTCCATCAAATGGAGCGCAACCTCGAGGAAAGGAAAATGTAGAGGATTTTTTTTTAATCCAAACTAAATCAGGTGGGATTAATGCCTAGCCTGGAAACAAAAGAAACCGTGAGGATATTTCTTCACAAGCACCTTCACTGCATCTCCACAGGTCCACTTTTTCCTACAATTAGACAGCTTCTGCCACTGCAGTTCCCACGTGCCTGCCCTCTTGATTCTCCCCAGGAAAAAGGCATCATTAAAAAAAAATGATGTTAGCCCCACGATTATAGCATAGCCAGCCCAGTTTGGTTTGCAGCCTTAATTTTCTTAGATTGCAAGGGACAGCTGCGTGTAATAAATCAAATCCCATAAAATAAGTTGCCAAGCATCCTTTATGCTGTCTGCCAGGCTGAGATACTAACATTTTAGGACAGCAGTAAGGATTACCTAAATAATATTTTGTGTAACCCCTTCTCCTCCTTTCTCCTGCTCAGTCGCATTGGTTTTCCCAGCTGCTATCATAACACTTTACTCATTTACAGCATCTTTCGTTTTGCTTTTCTTTAAAGAAAAACCCAATTGCAACAATAAGTGGAATAAAGTAGGGACAAAATTGCGCAGTTTTTTATAAAAGAAACATTAATGCCAACCATTTAGATAAAAAGTAAACAGCAATCAAGGCAACAGATAAAATCTCCAAAAGGCCCCAACTAATAGATAAGTACTCGGTGAAAACATATCGGGGGGGGGAGCTATTTAATCTTTAGGAAGATTATTCCTGAAAAGAAGATTATTCCTGAAAACCAGAAGAGAAGAATGCCCTACTCTTGGATCCACAGATGAGTGACTATCAGCATAGCAGTCTGGTTAGTAGGGCAGCTACTCCAGAGCTAAAAGACTATGTGACCCTATATTGAAACAGGCTGTTCCTTATAAACCTGGACCTTGATGAAATGTTATGATTTAAATTTTGAGCTAAGCCTTAAGGGTCCGTGGCCATGGTCTGTGGCCACAAATGGTATTTAAGGAGGTCCATCGTGAAGACAAGATTGGGAATCACTGGCTTAGTATCTACCAGGAAGTATAACAGTAATGTTTTAACACCCTATTCTAACTAGTCCATCTCTTTCTCCATACTGGATTGATTAGTCCAGACATGTCAAACTCGCGACGTCACATGACATCGCACGACGTATCGGAGCTTTTTCCCCATTGCTGGCAATGGGATGGGTGCAGTTTCGTCGTGACACATCCAGCCCATGGGCCAGCAGTTTGACACCCCTGGATTAGTCCTTTGAAGAGTCTCAACCAATCATGAGTGGAGGAAATTCAAAAATATGAGACCAAGAGAATTTGTCTATCGGCTGATAACAATCAAGTCAAATGAGGTCATGGCAGGCTAGAAAGAGACGCTGTGATTCAACTCACACATTGTATTTGGACAGAACATCACAGTCACCTACAATATTGTGCCAAAGTTACACCCCCTGCTTTCTCTTTCTCCCTTGATGTGCAAAATAATGCTTTCGCGCTTGAGAAAGAAGATAGCTAAATTATTTAAAAAGTATCCTCATTTTTACCGTCTTCTCAAGCTATGACGGCTACGGATCAACTTGGAGTTATCCTTCAGGCTGAGTCTTTCTCTGAGCATTCCTATCATGTTCATCTCCACATGCATTCTTTCTCTAAGGGTGTGCTGTTAAGACACCAGCTTCCTCCAGTTATTCTTGCATTCTGCTGTAGCCCCTTGTGAAAATAAACAGCCAGGACATCAATGCAGAGTTCTGCTGGGCAAAATTTCAAAAGACCGACTTGGTTTGAAAATGATTTAGAGAAGATATGAAAAGAAGAATTTTTTACTTATGAAAAGAGCTAAGAGCTCTTGCCACAGTCCCATAGATGCTTTTTCTAAAAGACCATTCGACTTTCTTGTTCTCTTTCTTTGAAAACATTTGGGTTCTCATCCAAGAAGCTTCTTCAGTTCTAATTGATAGGTGGGGAATGGAAGGATTTATTTACTGTATATATATAAAGAATATAAATCCTTTCCTTCTCCACTAATCAGTCAGAACTGAAGAAGCTTCTTGAATGAGAAGCAAAACGTTTTCAAAGAAAACCATGATCTGGATGATTGAGAATCTCCATAGATTTTTTTTTTAAAAAAAAAAAAACCAGGAAAGTCCAGTTGTCTTTTGGAAAAAGCACCATTGGGATAACCATGACCTGGACGATTGAGACTCTCCATAGGCATTTAACCCATGCACAGAAACCACTTTGCTTTAAAGATTGGGTCAGACTGTGCAATCTTTGACGCTTCAAGTACAGTAGACTCTACCCCTTCTGTATTGGTCCACCTCTAAATGTTTTTGCAGGTATGAATGCTAGGAAATCCAATCTGGGTCCCTGTTGGGCAAGTAACAGACAGAAGAACACTCACATTTTCTGACCGAAGCTTCTTCGCAGGACATCCTCCATCAATTGGGTGGAGCATGTAGTAAAGCCGAACTTTGCTTGCATGTTTCCGACTCTGTGGAGGAAAACCAAGGAGCCTTTTTTCAATGAACCAAGCCTTTGCAAAGAACACCAAAGCCAAGTCTTGCCCTACTCCTTAGATTGCGACAGCTCTCTTTTCTTAAGTTTGAAGAAGAGCTTAAATCCCCAGCCTGTTTTCTGGGTAACAAACCTTGAGGATGTGATTTTTACGGCCCTCTCTAAGCAGTTTACAAAGTCAGCATCTTGCCCCCGAGAATCTGAGTCCTCATTTTACCGACCTCGGAGGGATGGAAGGCTGAGTCAACCTTGAGCTGGTGAGAATCCAACTGCTGGCAACCGGCAGTCAGCAGAAGTAGCCTGCAGTACTGCATTCTAACCACTGCGCCACCACGGCTCAGATAGCTGAACATAGAGACAAGAAAAGTTTAAATTTCTTGTTTGAATACCTACGAAAAAATGTCTGGTTTTCTTCACATGAATTCCATGTAAAAAAAAAATACCAATTAAAGTACACACCATAGCAATTGTTACATGATTTTAATTGCCACAGGAAAGTCATATCAAAGCCACTAAATTCTTTCGCTGGGACGAGCAGGGCTTGGAATCAATTAATTTTAGCTGGATGAGGAGAACCCTATTTTGCATTGTTCTGAACAAGATAATCACCAGTTTGTTAATTAACCATCAGGGATGTATTTTGATTCCCCCCCCCCCCGTTTCATTCCTCACTCTTGGTACTCCTGATGCTGTCTGTACACCGTCTGCTACAGCGTGCGTGCCTTTATGGTAGTTTTTCATTTCCAGACTGGAGACAGAGATTTGATCAAACTGAGATTTTGCAATCCTTCTAATATTCCTGCTGGTGTTTTTTTTCATATCTATCTATCTATATAAAACATTTCTATCCCTACCTTTCTTCTGAGCCTGCTGTGGTGCTCAGCTGAAGCTTCTTGTGGCTTGGGCAGCATTTCAGATTGCAACCTATGAATACTCTCCACGCTAGCAACAATGAATACTGGAGCAAAGCAACTTTCCAGCCTTCAGTCTCTTGTTTTGGGTGCTTCACAGTCTCTTTTGTTTAGTTTGATTTAATTGGAAGAGATATTCTCTGAGCCAGCCAAAACACACCCAACGAGTAATTTTGCAAGGGAAGTGGTTCTAGATTGCCTTCTGCATATTAGCCATTTTGCATTGGAAACAAGGTCATTTCATTCTAAGTCCAACAGCATTCTGTGCCATATTTCTGGGGTTGGCCGTGCCTCTTATTAACACACTTTAATCCATGGTCCTCCACTCTCTTAGAGATAAAACTCAACTGCCTTATATTTTGGTCTAGTTTATCACTGCATTTTGATGCATGATCTCAAAGAGCTGCAGAGGCAGGGAGGCATTCAAGGTTTAGCTTGCTATATGAATTTGACAGTAGTTCTAAAAAAAGTGGGTTTAAGAATCATCCTCCAAAAGAAAAGGAACAGAAAACTGCTTTACCCTCCCATGCACATAATCCCATTCCCAATATTCTTAGCCAACTGGCACGAGCCATACGAGATGTTTAAAGTGGGAGCCAATCTGCCACTTTATTTTAGGTCCAATCCTACCTGAAATTTTTCTTTAGGTTTGAGTTGCAATATTTTAAAGGAAGGAAGGAAGGAAGGAAGGAAGGAAGGAAGGAAGGAAGGGAAGGAAAGAAGGAAGGAAGAAAGAAAGAAAGAAAGAAAGAAAGAAAGAAAGAAAGAAAGAAAGAAAGAAAGAAAGAAAGAAAGAAAGAAAGAAAGAAACCCATCCTGGAGCAAGGGAGAATGGAAGGAACCTCTTTAGACATCAAAAACTAGCATCTCTAAGCAAAAGCTTGGAAGAATTGCTCACTGATTTATATACTTATTTATATGATTTCTAAAGCCTGCCTTTCATTCAGGACCTCACAATGGCATCTGGTCTATTTGTTTTCCTCACAATAACTATACTGAGTGGTAGAATTGGATGGGAGAGGAGGACGAGCCCAAAGTCACTAAGAAAGCTTGCAAGGCCGAGGAGAGACTAGAATCTGGGTCTACTCTGCTCCTAGTCAAGGACTTTCACCCCTACATCGCTCTGCCTCTCAACTTTTCTCCCATCTCCCATCAAGAACAGAATGGATTAGAAGCGCTAGTAAGCTCAAAGGTGCTTCCCCCCCCCCCAAAAGGCAACTGGACTCGTTTTTCCTTGAGGAAGATGTTTCGCTTCTCTCCCAAGAAGCTTCATCAGTTATGGCAGGATGGTGGGTGCGATGGAAGGGTTACTTATGACAGGAGGGGCTGATGGTTTGGAAGGATCATATTTCTTTGCAGTCATCTGGTCGTTAGTACTCTCCCTGAGAGCTCTTGAGACCACTTGGGGAGTTTATCTGTGCCCTCAGAATCACCTGTATCAGAGTGGGATCTTTTTGGGACTGCTGCAAGGGCTGCATTGTAGATAGGAGGTTCTTATCCCCCCCCCCCGGCTCAATGTTAACATTGTTGTTGTTAGTGGCAAAGTCGTGTTCGACCCATCGCAACCCCATGGACAATGTTCCTCCAGGCCTTCCTGTCCTCTACCATCTTCTAGAGTCCATTTAAGCTCATGCCTCCTGCTTCAATGACTCCATCCAGCCACCTCCTTCTCTGTCGTCCCCTTCTTCTCCTGCCCTCCATCTTTCTCAGCATTAGGCTCTTCTCCAGTGAGTCCTTCCTTCTCATTAGGTGGCCAAAATATTTGATTTTCAACTTCAAGATCTGGCTTTCTAAAGAGCAGTCAGGGTTGATCTGCTCTAGGACTGATTGCCGTCCAGTCCAAGGGACTCGCAGGAGTTTTCTCCAGCACCATAGTTCAAAGGCCTCAATTCTTTGGCGTTCAGCTTTTCTTATGGTCCAACTTTCTCAGCCATACATTGCAACTGGGAAAACCATGGCCTTGATTATATGTGCTTTAATGTTAACATAAATGGTCTCTTTTACCCCTCTTTCAAACCAATGGTCCTCTCTATCCGGAATGTGGACCGAAAGCATGGGTAAAGAACTGGTGTGGTGGAACGTAGTCTGGATTCACAGAGGGAGGGGCTCCTTCCCAGAATGCAAAGAGACAGCAGATTTTGGAATGTCTGACAGGCAGGAAGAGGGTAAAGGCAGACCCTCCCTAGCAATTCGCAGAGTATATCTCTAACTATGCAGAGAGTGGCTTTAGTTAAGTAAGATTTTGTCTGTAGACGAACAACAGCGAAGAAACTACTCAGAGGTAACTCCATTTGTCATTCTTGATTCTTTGGGCCCGGCACTGGTGTTTTATTGCCACAACTGCAAATGGCAGAATGACAGCGACGTGCTGTTAAAAAGGAAGACAGGACTGCACAAATCCTAGGCAGACACAGAAAGAGTTTGCAATGATACTTGGATTGTTGCTTCAGATCACCTGCTTGGCAAATATACCACTTGCATGAAATAGCAGATCATAATTTAGCAATTGCAACAGGGGGATTAAACTTCCCTTGCAAGGATAAAAACCTCAGGTTTCTTTCCCCTGTGCCAGAAAGACATTTATATTTGCATGTTCCCCTGTGTTCTTAATTTAAATAAAAATAAATGTATGCGCATTAGAAGGCAATGGGGGAGATAGAGGACAAAATGCTTTATACTTTCAGGGCTTGGATGCGTTTCCTGAATATGTTATTTTTCTCTGATAGGCCCCAACTGACGCAAAGGAATAGAGATTTTTTTTTAAAAAAAGGATTATTTAAAAACATTTTAGCATGGCATTGCAGAGAAGTAGCAAAATCTAAGAATTCAGTCCCAAGAAAGGGAGTCTTTGCCTCCGAGTTTAGCGCTAGATGCAAGATGGTTTTCTTGCATTTAGCTCAGTTCATTGTCTTTTGAGAATATTCTTCAGAAAATATATTTCCAGTTTTCCACCTTCTCTTTTATACTGTGCAGTTAAGCAGTGGGACCATTTTAGTTTCTGTCACCTTTTCAGAGAAGGCCTGTGGCTATCTATCTAACATGCTGTAACTCAGGGATCCCAATCTTGGTCACTTTATGACTTGTGGACTTCAACTCCCAGATTTTCTGTATTAAAGATTGGTTGATGTTGATTCTATCTATCTATCTATCTATCTATCTATCTATCTATCTATCTATCTATCTATCTATCTATCTATCTATCTATCTTCTATCCATCCATCCATCTATCTATCCATCTATTCATCCATCATCTCTCTCTAATCCAGCGATTCTCAACCTGTGGGTTGGGACCTCATTTGGGGTCGAACGACCATTTCACGGGGGTCGCCAAACAACGCAGTCCGCCATTTTTCCCCCTTTTCCTTAGCTGTGCTACTCCCTTTTATTCTATTGGCTTTTGAAAGCCAATAGAATAGACTCTCTTGAATAGAGTCTAATTCTATTGGCTTTCAAAAGCCAATAGGAATTGTCCAGGCTGTCTCTGCCCTGCTGAGCCCACCAAAAGTCCCATTCTGCAAACGGTGCTGCACCAGTTGAGTAGTCCTTGACTTACGACGGTTGAGTAGTCCTCGACTTACGACCGGGTGGGGGTCGCGGCATTAAAAAGGTTGAGAATCACTGCTCTAATCGTACTAAGAGTTAACCTTAAAATACTTAATATACTTGAAAATAGACAAATACACAGACTAATACACAAACACAAATATCTGCTCTCACATATGTTAGTCTTTTGTCTAAACCTAATCCTTCCTTTCAAAAGTACATATGAGATCTTTAGACCTCTGCTGTGTTGTGACACTTGAAAATTTAAAGAATTGAAACATCTACCAGTTAGGAAACCAATTTTTTTTTTTAAAAAAAATATATCATTCATTGGTATCCCATGCCAATTGCACTAAACTAATTAATCTTAAAAAGCCTTCTGGAAGAGCCCTTTTGAGCAATTTCTTAAAAGCCAGAAGGATTGGGGAAAAACAGGCAAATCTGAAAATCTGAAAGGCAGATTCATGTTTTAATCCTTTCTCACATACATACAAACATACTGTACACAGAGAATAAGTTGAAA